GCAAATCACCCAAGGAACGGTTGACAACCTGTGTCTGACCATCCGTTTGAGGATGATAAGCACTGCTAAAGTCCAACTGTGTATTGACCAAATGCCATAAACTGGGCCAAAAGTGACTAAGAAAACGAGTATCCCTATTAAACACAATAGAAACAGGATGTCCATGTAGATGACAGACCTCACGGAAATATAGTAATGCCACACTGACAACAATCGTAGTCTTCTTGTAGGGAATGAAATGGACCATCTTAGAAAAATGATCAACCACTACAAAAATAGAATCAAATTTGTGCTGAGTCCTAGGAAGCCCCAAGGCCGACGTCTGTGTTCTTCTTCTTTCCCTGCGTTTTCTCTGATTTTTCTCTCTAGTTTTCCTCTGGTTTCGCTTCCACAGCTCAACATCTTATTTGTTATAAAAATAACGTGTTTTTGTATTTTTTTCCATTTCTGTCTCTGTGGAACTTATTTGTCAATTGCCTTAATTTTGATGTACAACAAGATTCAAATGATTTTTATAAAAACATTGTTTTTCCTTTTCATAGAGCATTCTATAAGGGAGTATCTACACTTAAAAGCTAGACATACGGAATGGAAAAATATGCAAATATACATCCCGCCGGACAATGGTGGCAAATTCCGGGGCTATTTGGGGCAGCAATATGGGGGAGCAGCCCCTCCCGTGACATAGCCAGACGCCTTATTAATAGCGGAGCAGGCAATCTATATCAAGCTTCGTGGGACGTCCTCTATGTCAGGCGGCACAGAAAAACCTAACGACACCACCAAGTCAACTAAATCAGTGTTCTGGGGACTGTTGTTCACTTTAATTTACTACTAGCTTTTGATACTATCATAGGGAGGATTTTGTGGGCTAAGCCACTCGGAGGATACGACGTTTTCTACTTTGTGTGTTTGGTTCCTAAGAATCATGACTGTCCTCCCGGCCCGAATTGGACGCTGATTTGGAGAGGCTCCAATGCTACTTGCTATAAGGTCGAGGAGAAGATTGCGTGAAGTCGTTATGGCGGTGCAGAAAAGTGGCTTTGTGTGGGCTTTGGATCGCGACAATAGTGATATTGTTTGGCTCAAAGCAAGTGTTTCGAATTATTTGTTACCATGAATTGGAATGGTTAGATACGATTAACAAAGAGAAACATATGACATATTTGGTCATTGTCCAATTCAGTTCAACTCACTAAACATATCTAAATATCCTTTTGATTTATTTA